CAGCCGAAACAGTGCTCGGCACTCTCATCTGTTAGCAGCAAGGACCAGGGGCCGCCAGGTATGGTTGAAACCTAGAGTTACATTTCCCATTTGACGTTCGATGTCCCTGGGGTGTCCCCCGGGGCAGCCCCTGTCCACCCAGGCCACCCGTGTCCAGATGCCCGGTGCTGCTGAGGAGCGGAAGCCTGAGAGGGTGAGGCACCCGGGGACAGCGGCTGTGGCTGCCCGAGTGGGAGGGGAGCCAGTGGGGGACAGTTTTCTGGAGTCTGATGACCTGACTCAATGACTACGAGTTCTTAACCAGGCTGCGGAGACTTTCCCAAGCTGATTCAAGATAGCTGGCTTTGTTCTTGTCCCACCCCTCAGCCTCTGAGAATTTTATTTCACCTTTAGTATTTATTATTTTGAGACAGTGTCATGCTGTGTGTCCCAGGCTGGCCTACAACTCAGCTCCTCCTGCCTCAGCCTCCTGAAGGTGCCAGGGTTCTAACCCTGAGCTACCACACCTAGATCTAGAATTTTAAAATAACAACGCTGGTAAAAAGCAGGTGATTCGCTGTGGGTGGAACTAATGGGCTGGGCACGTTTCTGCCCCCACCCCACCCACCCCAAGTCCTGCAGACTCGTGGGGCCTGGGAGCTGCCTCCCCGCTTCCCACTACCTAGGGACAGTTTCTGGTGAGCGTGATGGCCGCCCGGGAAGGCGGAAGGGCAGACGGCGCTCTTGGGTGGAGAGGCTGCGGCTGGGCCAGGTGGGACAGGAGTGAGTGCAGCTCCTCCCACCAGGCCCTCACAGGGAACCCTCAGCTGGGCCAGGTCAGCCTGACAAGTCCCCGCCCAGGGCCTCTTCCCAGGGGCCAAAACCTGGCCCTGCTCAGGGAGGAGCTGTCCGACCTCTGGGCCCTGGTCACACCCGTGACAACAGTGACCCCACGGGACCCCAAGCAGGAAGCGTCTCCATCATCACAGGGGGACTGGCCCGGGCGCACCGTCCTGGGCTGGGGGACCCTCCCGCGGTCTGGCTGCTGGTGATGCACAGCCACACCCACCCAGCCGTGTCCCCAGACCAGGCCACGGCCCTCCGCCTGGACCCCACTGGGGTGTCCCCATCGCCCAGGCCCTCGGTGGCTTCCTTTTTTCCTTTCCCCAAAGCTGACCTCATCTCCGGCCGAGCTCACTGACTCACCCGGCCCTGACCACGAGCCCGATCTGTGGATCCCGGGAGGGGATCACGGGACCCGAGTGCAGATCCGGGGCGCTTTCCTGCCTGCCGGAGCCTCCGTCCCCGGCGCCTTCTCAGCGCAGTCTGGTAGACGCCTCCAAACTGAGTGCCGCCGTCCTGCTCAGACGTCCCCCGAGGGCCCCTGGCTGGCTTGAGCTGGGGCCACTGAGCCGTGGCCTCCAACCTCAGCAGTGCCTGGCTGGGGTTTTCTCACAGCCTCCGACCTGGGCAGCTGTTCACAGATGGGAGGTCAGGGGCCCGGCTGGAGCCCCTGGTCACAGCCCAGCCACACCCAGCTCAGGTGGCCGCCTGTCTGTCCATCTGTCAGGCTGTGTCTCAGTCCCTCCCCGGTGGGTCCTGGTGGCCTAGTGGGACCCCATAGCTTCGCGCTGGGTGGCACCAGGACCCCTTGCCATGGGAAGGTGGCTTTGTAGGTGACAGCCCGGATGACTCAGGAGGGAGGTCGGGGCCTGCCTGGCTGGGGACAGGTCACGGCGGGGACACAGGGGAGGGGCCCAGTGTGGGCAGCCAGCCCAGCCCCGAAACGGTGCCAGGCCAAGGAGGCGGCGGTGAGGCAAGCAGGTCAGACAGGTGGAACCGGCCGCCGGGTACCAGTCGGTCCCCAGCAGTGCCGGCCGCCCTGGGCCGCCAGCAGGTGACCCGTCTTCCTCGCTGACCAGCATGTCCCCCGTCTCTGGCATGAGCAAAAGGCCAGAGGGTGGGGCCTGGGGGGGGCGGAATTCACCCAGGGAGGGAGTTGCTGTGTCTGTGGTAGAAATGTGGCCTGGGTGTTAGAGAAGCGTTTGTCTGCGGAGCGTGGATCCTTTTTGTTTTTATAGCATGATTTGTGTTTTCTTTCTTTCTGAGACAGGGTCTCACTGTGTGGTCTAGGCTGGCCTTGAACTCACCATGTGGCCTGGGCTGACCTGGAACTTGTGGAGGTCCTCCTGCCTCAGCCTCCTGAGTGTTAGGATTGCGTGAGTGCCGCAGCGCGCCAACCGGAGCCTGGCTGCTTCATGACAGATTCGTCGGGGGAGTCCGGGAACCTGACAGGTTTGTAGTGGGCTGGCGAGTGGGTGGGAGGACTGTCGGGCACCAGGCTGTGTCTGCTTTGGGCTCCCTCCAAATTCCAGATGTGTCCCGATCACTGGGCCGCAGCTCCTCTGGGAGCATGTATGAAGTTATGAAGTCACCGCTGCCGTTCGGCCCAGACCTGTGGACCCAGCGTCCTGTGTGGTGTGGCCGAGGGAGGCCGTGCCCATGTCTGCTGCCGAGGCACATGGCCTCGGCTGAGGCCCCTCCTCCATCATAATTTGTGATGTTCAAATTGCTTGGGCTATGGGAGAGATCAGTTAGGATTCCTTTGGCTGCAAGTAAAAGAAAACTTCACCCAAAATGTTTAAAATCTGCCGGGGACGGTGGTACATGCCTGTGGTCCTGGCACTGTGAGAGGCTGAGGCAGGAGGATGGAAACTTTGAGCTGAGCCCTGGCAGTTTAGCAATTTAGCAAGACTTTGTTTAAAAAAAAGGAAGAAGGACTGGAGATGGGTCTGTAGCTCAGTGTGAAGGTCCTGGCCTTAATTCCCCGTAAATCCTGTCTCCCGGCACTTGGGAGGCTGAGGCAGGAGGTTCAAGTTGAAGGCCAGCCTGGGATACAGAACAAGACCCTGTCTCCAAAAAACAAAACAAAAAAAAAGTCTTACGTCCTCAGAGCTGTGTTTCCCTTTCCAATGCTGGGGATGGATCCAGAGCCTCATGGTGCTGGGCAAATGCTCTATCCCTGAGCCAGCCACACCCTGCCTATAAACATTCACTCTCCAGACAGGAAGTCCTGAGCAGGGTGACTTCCTGACAGATGCCAGCAAGGGACTCAGGCCACCAGGGAACCTGGTCGCCCCGCTCTCCTGGGATCCCCCCATTGGGTGGAAAGCCTCTCCTGGGGTTCCGCTGTAGCGGCCCCAGACCAGCCAGGCCAAGGGAGGGGTTGGCATGAGGCTGCGGGTCTGGGGACCCCAGGTTACCTGGCCCCTCAGCACCTGCGCACCAGAAGGTGGACCTGCGCGGCCACCAGAAGCCTCTTCAACTGGGAAATTTTAATTCTCTGGATTTCTAACTCTGTGTGTTTATGTACATATATATTCTAATATATTTAAATTTAATGTAATTAAAAATATTATTGTAATATATAGTTGTGTTATATAATTAATATAATAATTATAATGCCATATATTTTTTCTTTTGGGTACCAGGAATCGAACTCAAGGCTTCAGGCTTGCCAGATAGGCGCTGAACCCGTGAGCCACACTCCCAGGATTCCTGTGCATTTTCCTTTCTCTGGTGCTGGAGATTGAACCCAGGGCCTTGTGCACATCTTTCACTCAACACCCTCAGCCCCCTTTTAAATAATAAAAGGGAGCTGGGGATGTAGCTCAATGGCACCGCCCCTGCCTCAAAAGTGCAAGGTCCTGAGTTCAATCCCCAGTACAAAAAAACAAAAAGAGGTGTAAAGTAAAAGGGAATTTCTTTTGAGACAAGATCTTGCTAGGTAGCCGGAGCTGGCCTTGAATTTGAGATCCTCCTGCCTCAGCCTCTTAAGTGCTGGGCCCTGTGCTTGCACCACCCTGCCCACCCCCTTTCTGATCCGCGTTTTATTGCAGGGCAGTTGTAGCCACCCACGGTCTCTTCGGTCAGCCTTTCCCTGTCTGCGGAGACCCCTTCTCCTCTGCCCAGCCAGCGTCTGGGCTGCTGGCTTTCGGCGTCTGAGCTCTTCTCCAGCCGGGGTTTGCGGTGTTTGCGGTGCGTGCGGGGCAGCGGGCACATTCACTCCACTCATGTCTCTTCACGTCCCTTCCCCAGCCCACCCTCCACCTCTTGTCCCCTTCCCATCTGCCAGAGCTCTGTCTCCCTCTTAGTTTGCTCCTTGGTCGTCCTGTACTGTGGGTTTCTCAGGTGAGAGGGGCCCTGCGATACTTTCGCGCGCGGGTCTGACTTAGGCTTCTCGTTTTTGCCTCAAGGTGCACCTTTCCCACAGGGGACCCCGGGCCATCTTTCTCTACGGCAGCGTGGGGCCGCGGTGCCTGTGAGCAGCGCGCTTTCTCCATCGCTCGGCTTTGGCTGCTTCCAGTTAGGGTTGCACTGCGATAAGCACGGGTGATAAAACGGGTTCTTCACGTTTCAGAAAAAAACCCCTCATGGGCACGCATGCGTCTTTCGGGAGGGTTCCTGGACTTTTTTCTTTTTATTTTATTTATTTATT